AGGGTTTACTCTGCCAGCGTGGGGATACAGTTGGTTACTGTGAGGAGTGAGGAGGTCACAGCAGGACAATGGGAGTGCGGTCCAGCTGGCCACGTCGTGTCCACGGTTGGCCGGAAGCAGAGAGGTCGGGATAAATGCCTGGGTTCCAGTCACTTTCCTTTTGTCAATCAGGAGCCCAGCCCACAGAACCCTGCTGCCCTCATTCAGCCAGGGCCTGAGCTTCAGTTAAACCTCTCTGGAAACGCCCTCCCAGACACCAATGGGGATGTCTCCTGGGGAATTCTAGGTCTTGCCAATTCCTTCGACAGGCGTCAACCACCACAGCTGCCTCACCCTTTTCGGTGACGCCAATGGTGTTGATGTTTCCTCCTCTTGACACTTGTGAGTTAACAGGGTTTTCCTCTTGGTTTCAGCTCATGGGGTGGAGGGGGCATCCTGCTCACCAGTGACACTAGGAATATTTGAGAACGGCTTCTGAGTCTGCAGATGCTTTTTTAGTGCGCACGAACGCACATGTGTGTGTGCATGCATGTGTGTGTGCGCGTGCGTGTGTGCGTGCACCATGTGAGAATAGTGCTCATAGGGACAAGAAGAGGAGGTTCCTATGCCCTGGGGCTGGAGTTACAGGCGGCCGTGAGCGGCCTGACAGGGGCTGTGGGAACTGAAGGCCTCTGGAAGAGTAAGCAGCAAGCGATCTGAACTGCTGAGGCATCTCTCCAGGCCTCTGCACTCACGTGCACAACCCACATGCACATGGACCCATGCTCGTGTGCGCACACACACGCTCACACACACTCACACACATACATACACATATATACACACACATACACACACTCACATACACACACTCACACACACATACATACACATATATACACACACATACACACACTCACACAGCTAAAAATAAAAATCTTGACTGGGTGGGTAGTTCACACCTTTAACCCCAGCACTCAGGAAGCAGAGGCAGGTGGAGCTCTGTGAGTTCGAGGCCAGCCTGGTCTACAAAATGAGTTCTAGGATAGTCAGAGTATACAAAGGAACCCTGTCTTGAAAAACCAAAAAAAAAAACTACTATAATAAAATCTTTTCTGTGTTGTTGCCTTGATTTTTGAGACAGGGTTTCTCTGTACAGCTGTCCTGGAACTTGCTCTATAGACCAGGTTGATCTCAAACTCAGAGATCTGCCTACTTCTACCTCCCTGGGATTAAGGTGTGCACCACCAAGCCTGGTTAATATGAAGTCAATGTTTGAAAAGTTAGTTCTGCTCTCCATAGTTTGAGTTATGCCTCTATATTGATTTAGTTTATTTTAGCAAATAAAAGTCGGTCTAAAGAGCTTTCCTGCCTCCTGTCCTCAGCATGCCTTCAATTCTGTTTGCTCAGGCCATGAACTTTCTGGCAGAGTGGGGTGATAAGAAGTAGGCCCGGTGGGCACGGGGGACCCGCTGTGACTCAGCCGCATCTTCACTGAGTGGCCTCCCCTGGCACCCCAAGCATTATTCCAGGGGACACTGGAGCGTTTTCCCCAATGCCTTCTGGTACTTTCTCGTTATCTAAAGGCCTTTCAGTCTCACCAGAGGTACAGACCACACTGTCCATTTTGGGGGGTCAGGTGGGGGGAGGGGGGTGTCTGGTGCTGGGGATGGGACTCAGGGGCCTTGAACTTGCTAAGCACACTGCTGTACCCCGGCTCCTGTTGTGTTTTATTCCTTCTGTCTACTGCGTCCAGGACGGTTCTCTGTGTGCCAAAGCTGCTCGAGGTGCGACTGTATCGGAGGTGAGCTTCAGCCGCGACAGCAACTCTCTTAACTGAGCCCGCTGCTCTACCCTGAGCCCGCTGCTCTACCCCAGGTAACTGAGCCCGCTGCTCTACCCCAGGTAACTGAGCCCGCTGCTCTACCCCAGGGTAACTGAGCCCGCTGCTCTACCCCAGGGTAACTGAGCCCGCTGCTCTACCCCAGGGTAACTGAGCCCGCTGCTCTACCCCAGGGTAACTGAGCCCGCTGCTCTACCCCAGGGTAACTGAGCCCGCTGCTCTACCCCAGGGTAACTGAGCCCGCTGCTCTACCCCAGGGTAACTGAGCCCGCTGCTCTACCCCAGGGTAACTGAGCCCGCTGCTCTACCCCAGGGTAACTGAGTCTGCTGCTCTACCCCAGGGTAACTGAGCCTGCTGCTCTACCCCAGGGTAACTGAGTCTGCTGCTCTACCCCAGGGTAACTGAGCCCGCTGCTCTACCCTGAGCCCGCTGCTCTACCCCAGGTAACTGAGCCTGCTGCTCTACCCCAGGGTAACAGCTGAGCCTTTTAATCACCTTATGCTGCCACCCCAGATACTTCCAGAAATGCCCCTAGGGCAGAATGAAGAATGTAGTGTTACTAGATAACACCCATCTCCCCTGTAAGCACCTCGTATTCCGTCTACACAGTGTGTTTAGGGTCCAAGGACCAAGCCCTCGTCAGCTCTCCTGGACCACCTGCCCTGGGTCTGGAGAACATGACACAGCTGGACCCTCACCAATGAGCTGAAGCCAGAGGGGTCAGGGGTCATCTCCCCCCCCAGAAAACAATGCCGATTCCTCGAGCACGATATAAAAATCGCAGAGGCCGCGCCAATCCTCATATATAGCACATGTCTCTGTTTTTACAAGGTTGTCTGGGAACCACAACTGGGTGGGCCAAGTCCCTCGGGGTTGTCAGGATGCTCTTCTGGGTCAGGTCTTGCTGGGCGACAGCCTACATGTCATAGAGTCGGAGCTGCTCCTGCATGTCACCGTCAGACATCTCACCGAACGTCTCTTTGTTGTCCTTCATGAGCTGGAAGATGGCAGCCAGCTGTTCTCTCTGAACTCTGTTGAAAAGAGAGGACGAGAGGAAAAGGGTGCTCCCGACCGGAGGCGGGGTGGGGTGGGTGGTGGGGTGGGGCGGGGCGGGGTGGGTGGGGGATTGGGACCTGTGCCATTGGCCAGGTGGAGACCCTCCTTCCTAACTACTTTTGCTTTTCAGTGTAAGACCCACCTAAAATGCAGGAGGTGGTTTGCACGAACACACTCGGCCCTGAAGTCCCGGGTCTCCGTTTCCTCTTGGGCCTGTAGCTGATTTGCATCCCTCAGTGAGGCAAGGAGAAGGAGACCCGTTTTTTCATTAGGTGGCTTGAGGTGCCGAGAAGCGCGAGGTTAGGGGCGGCCTCAGTTTAGAGGGATGAGCCAGAAGCAAGGGAAATAAATGGGTGCGCGCGCAGATGCGGGGCTGGAGGATGAAATCCGGCCCCCCGGGGCTCCGCTGCCTAGAGAGAGAGGCTCCTCTTCCTCATGGACACAAAGTGGGTGGCGGTGCAGGCGGACCTCGGTGCCGACCACATGGCTCTGTGGCCGCTTTGTGGCTTGTGAGGTTCTGGCACGCCATCAGACTAGCGCAGAGTGACTCCCACAGCAAATACCAAGGGTGAGCTGAACAGCTGAAGCCAGGAACAGTGTGGGGTCCTGTTTGTCCCTCTGCAATGCTCTGTGCTCGCTGTGCTCGTCAGCGGCAGGCCACTGCATCTCCCTACGCTGATTCCCTGATTCTGTAGTTCCTGTCTCTCCAGGACGCAGGACTGCGCTGGGGCCTAGAGACAACTGGAGCCACACTCGCAGCCTCGGATCTCAGCCTTCCCCAGGGCCGTGTCTGTACCTATCTATGCTGTAGGTCCGTCATAACCGAGAAGGGTTCAGCAAAGTTGTCAGCCACTGGACTGTCTGGAGAAGTAGCCCTGATGTGTTAGGCCTTATGCTTTTTCTTTTCTGAGACTAAAAAAAAATACTCCTTTAAATTGTTCTCATAGTGTGTGTGCCCCCAGCACACATGCAGAGGTTTCTCTGTGTGGCTGTCCGGGAACTCGTTCTTATAGACCAGGCTGGTCTCGAACTCACAGAGATCCGCCTGCCTCTGTCTCCCCAGTGCTGGGATTAAAGGCGTGCGCCACCACCGCCCGGCTATGCCTTTTCTTTTGTCTTTATACAGTCCTCACTGTGTAGCTCTGGCTGCCCTGAAAGTTCCTGTGTAGACCAGGCTGGTCTCGAACTCACAGAGATCCTCCTGCCTCTGCCTCTGCCTCCTGAGGGCTGGGATTGCAGATGTGTGCCAGCATGCCAGGCTAGGTCTTGTGCTTTTAATGATATTTCTACCCTCCCATCCCCACATCCTCCACTCAACAAACGGTTCTCTGTCTACCCTGGCATCTAGAAGTTGGAGTACTGATGTCCCGATTCCTACCCTCCTTTGTCTGGGCAAACTAGGTCTACAGTCAGTCCTGCTGGAAGAGGAAGAGGGGATATGCAGGGTGCACTTTGTACCACACTATGTGAAGAAAAGAGGGGGGGGGCGTACCAAGAGCCACGAATGAAACCACTGTCAAATACATTTTGCACCGTCTCTTAATGAGCTGTTTATAATGTTTCGGTGGCCATGATTGTGTATTTATTGTAGTTTTATTACTATTATTATTTTTAGGATTCTGGGGTGTGTGTTGAGATGGTCTCACTATGTAGTCTTTGCTAGTCTGGAATTCACTTTGTAAATTCTGCCCCCAGGTACTGGGATCACAGCTGTACACCACCACCACCCCATACCCACAAGGCTGTGGTATTTACTTACTTATTTGTACTTATTTTTAATGTGTTCAGTAGTTTCATCTCCATGTATGTATGTGTTTGCCTGATGCCCTCAGAGGTCAGGAGGGGGAACTGGACCCCTGGGAACTAGTTACGGATGGCTGTGAACCACCATCTGGGTGCTGGGAACAGAACCCCGATCCTCTGCAAGAGCAAGCGTTCTTAGCCAAACGCCCACCTCTCCAGCCCCGGGCTGTGTGTTTTTAATCAGGTTTGCATACGGCTTTGCGTTCTGCTGGGACATCAAAGGCATCAGAATGAGGGGAGGTTTAAAGTTTGCTTCTAAAGAGATCTCTGTTTTGTCTTAATAAAGCAAGCTGAAGAAACACACGGTAACCAAGGTCCTCTACTTGACATTTTATTGGCGGGAACACAGGCTTTCCACAGCGAGCCAAGCCGCCAGGAGCGTGAGGGGCTTGTGCTCCCAAAACCATGTTTCCACACAGGCCTAACTAAGGGTATCCAGAGCTCACTCCCCTGTGAGGAGGAAATCCCAGTCTAGACAGGAACTTCACTATTGCTATTCAGGAACAAGTGAGTGGGACTCTGTTGGTCACGTGGCTCCGTGTTCAAAGGCATCGAGTTGTGTGAGTTGCCATACTGCCTGTTCAGCCCTGAGCCCCGAACCCAAGTTTTTAGGCATGGGAGAAGGCCGCCAGGCACGCGCGGCTTAGGAGTCGATGCTGGACATTTTTCCAGCTTTCTATTAAATGGAAAGTCTTCTAAAAACTTAGCACTTTAGAAGAAAAAAACATGTTTTCATCAACAAGTCTAAGACTTCAGAGTTGTTTGGTATATAGTATAAATACTGTCAAATATAAAATTCTGAAAAACTAACCTGGGGCTGTTGGGTGATTATCTGGTGAGGTTCAAAGTCATCTAGGAAAAGCCTAGGAAATACACAATCCCACAACCCAGAAGTCTACTGGAAGCTAATACTGCTATTGCAAACGAACGTGGAGACGAGGCTGGTCTGGAAGAACACTAGTGAAAAGGCCTCTTAGTACCAAGACGATTGGACCCAAGACTCCAGGGATGGGGTGGGGGCGGGGGCAAAAAGGGGGGCCAAATTAAAGCCAGTACCTGGCATGAATCATCCCTGCCAGAAAGAGGAAAGCACCCTAGGGTGTGTGTGACCATCTTTGTCAGCACTCGTGGGCTTCACCTTACTTGTCTGTCTCTTCTCAGATCTGGTGATTTGGCTTCCGTGAGAACAAAAGCCCAGGCGGGTTGTGTGAGCAGGGTGTCGGGGGCAAACATGGCTGGTAAGGAAAGCCCAAGGCCGAGCCCATCGTCTTGGCAACCCCCTCCCCAACATGTCAGCAGATTTGCAGACAAACTCTCCCCCAACCACCCCAAGGCTGCATGGGCTCCTCCCTGGGGGGTTCCTGTTTGTTTGTTTGGTTTTTCGAGACAGGGTTTTTCTGTGGCTTTGGAGCCTGTCCTGGCACTTGCTCTGTAGACCAGGCTGGCCTCGAACTCACAGAGATCCGCCTGCCTCTGCCTCCCTAGTACTGGGACTAAAGGCGTGCGCCACCACCGCCCAGCTTTTTTGTTTGTTTGTTTTTAATCAAGCTTTTAAGATGTTAAAAGGAAAGAAAGCCTTCAGGAGGAGGCTAAGGACACCTTCATTATTCTTCCGTTCTGTAAAGAGAAATAGGGAGAAAAAGATCATGTATCCCACTCAGTTTACTTTAGAAGCAGCACAGGACAAGGACGGAGAGTGGGCGCAGGGACCAGAAGGGTGATGGTTGGAATCGCAGAGGCCGTGCTAGACTCTTCTGCTTTCTCAGACCAGCAGTGTGAGCCCCACCTTACGCAGCGACACAGGCTCCACTGGTCAGTCCCCATCCCCACGCCCCACCCCCCAGCCAGGCGGCCACTCTCAGCTTCTGAGAAACAAGAGCAGCTGGGCAGTGAGCTTGTGGTCCTCGGCTGTGTGGTTGCTTACACTCGTGACATCCTATTGCCCTGGGTAATTTCCTGCTTCCTGGTCTGTGTCTCCGGTGAGGACTGCACCTTCTCCGGGAGGTTCCCCAGAAGGGCCAGAAGCCTGGATACCTCCCTGAAGACCAGTGATCGTATATTGTGCCTTTGGCGCCCTCTCCTGGAAGCTGGAGTCAATGCATCCTTTCAGCCGTCAGATTCACTCAAGAAGAGCCAGAACTGGTTAGGGCTGGGACGTCCCTTAAGGCCCTAATATGCTGTTTGCAGCCCTCCTCTTGGGCTCTATCTATTTCCACGAGTATGCACTAGTGAGAGGGCCCAGCCTGACCTGTCAACACAGTTTAGTCTACCAGCTGGGTCCCACGTTCCCTCTGGAGTAGTGGGATACCCTGCGGACCTGAAAAGCCGTGCTTTGTAGCTTGCGGAGTGGAGTGAAAAGGCCTCTTGCTGGGGGAGGGGGTGGTGGTGCCAAAAGCCTGCTAGCCAATGATCCCGGTCACACCGAGGGAGGCGGCACCCCCAAGGGAAGCTTCGGAGGGAGGTGGGGACAGAGGCAGTGTGGGGAGCAGGGGAGGGGCTGTGCATGCCCGCTCAGAGGAACTCAGAAAGGTCAGCGTGCACAGCAGCCAGGACTCCAGCCTAGCCACTCTCCAGGCGCTGGGAGAGTTCTGTGTGAGCAGATCCGAGGGCAGGAGTTCTCAACCGAGATCAGAGAAGAACCCCCTGGGACCTCTAGCTTCCTAACTGCCCTCCCCAGGGACCTGTGAGCAAGCCTGAGGAGAGCAGAGCTGGGAGCCGATGCAGGGCTGGGTTCTAGGTTCAGCTACGGTGGCCCAGCGGGTCATTCAAGACAAAACAGGTGCTCCCTGTGGTCAGCCTAGGACCACACAGAGGCAGTCTGGTAGGGGCGGAGCTTACAGGCACCCTGCCAGTCTGAGGATGGTGTCATTCATTTGATGGCAACCGTGGATGCGTTTCATCATCATTATTATTATTTATTATTACTTTGCACTTTTTGTTTGTTTTTCGTGGACGTGTGAGTAAGCATGTGTTGCCGACGTACATATGTGGAGGTCAGGGGACAAGTCCCAGAGTTGGTTCTCTCCTGTCACCGCATGGGTCTCGGGGATCAAACTCGGGCTTTTATGCCTGGGCTCCTTTGCTCCCTGAGCCATCCTGACAGCCCTACACTTGATGCTGTCTCTCAGGGGACAGTCCTGGGGCAGTTTCACCAAATTCAGTCAGGTCCAGGTCCGTCTTGAACTACCATCTCTCCAAAGCCCAGAGGCAGAAAGGTGAAGCCAAACTGAACAGCCTCTGCAACCCCAAGCATCACATGAAGCAGAGGTGAGGTGGGGGGAGGGGCGGCCCTGGGCAGCTTCCGCTGGGGCCACATGCAGGGGTGGGGGAGCAAGCACATGTCAGATGGGCAGGCACGTGAGAACCACGGGAAGCATGCTGCGTAGGGTAAGGGAATGAACATGAACCCAGGCCCTTCCGGGACTTCCGCTAGCCCCTCCTGCACACAGTGAGGACTTCCGCTAGCCCCTCCTGCACACAGTGAGGGCTTCCGCTAGCCCCTCCTGCACACAGTGAGGGCTTCTGCTAGCCCCTCCTGCACACAGTCAGGGACTTCTTCCTCACCCCGGGAGCAGCCCCTTGGCACAGTCTGTAGCCTACAAACAGCCAAGCATCAGTGGGTGGCCTGGAGGCCCCTGGCGACTTGGAGGCAAAGGCCCTCAGCCACTACCTTGCCTTTTCGTTTCCTGGTCTCTGGCTCTGAATGCAGGGGCAGCGGAAGTCCCCAAGCGGAGGCCTAGCTGCCACCCACTAGCTATGAACATGAGAGACAGCGGCAGACCTAAGGACCTGAGGCCTAACTGCTCTCCTACTCTGACAGCCCCTCCGCGGTGCTTCCCCCTGAGGGGACAGAATGAGGCCATAACACTGCCAAAGCCCCATCTCCAGGAACATTCCAGGTGGTGCAGGGGAAGGGGGGGGGTCAGGCCCTCTCCCGCCTCTCCAGCCAGGGCTGAACCCTCCTCACAGGACCTGCGACAACACCTCAGCTCTGCCACTGGAGTTCCAGAACAGCCTCAGAAAGACTAGTGAACGTCAGTGACCGTGTCTGTCCTCTACTGACACACCAGCAGGGCGTGGGCCACATGCGGCCAAGGCCTGGGTCTGGCGGGCCCAGCTTTCTTCAGAGCTCTCAATATCCCTGCCTACCCTGAAACTTGGGAGGGACTACAGGCCTCTCCCTCTCAAGGTGAGACGTTAGCCGCCGCCTCACAAGATGTATGCATATTCCCACAGCTCCCCAGGTCTCAGAGATGACGGTCCTCCCCCTTAAGTACACTAGCACCCAAACCAGCTGGACCCCTTAGGTCTACCAGGGTCTTCAGTTGGCCTCTGAGAGCCTTTCCCCCCGGGGCAAGGCTCTTTCTGTGGGATTCCCTCGTGCATGGGAAAGACAAGCCAGGTTCAGATGGGACGGAATGCAGTAATCGGTTATGGAGATGGGGGGGGTTTAGACCACATCAGTGGCGTTGGGGACACATCAGCGGGTGAAGTGAGAGAGCACTGCTAGTCTACGGAACCAACCTCCTTACCACAAGGGTTTGCAAGGACATTCATGGCCCCCGGGACTAAAGGACTCGCTACAGGGAGGTGAGGTCAGAGGTCAGCTCAATCCTGAAATACAAACGTGGCAAATGGGGGGGGTTCACGAGAAGAGGCAGCGTCCTCGTCCGAGGACTCGGGGCTTCTTCCTGCCTGTGCCTGCCCGGACTTCCCTCTGCACCCAGGGTGAGGAGGCTTCCTGTGAAGCCAGCGTCTTGGCAGGGAGACAGGCTCTTGCAAGCAGGGCGGTTGTGATACTGGAGGGGTAGCTGGTGGCCCTGGAGCAGCCCAGAGAGGGTGGGTTAGCCGCGCATCCTGCCTCGGCCTTCTTGCTGATGCTTATATGAATCAGGGCTGGGGGGAGGGGGACTGGAGAGGCGGCTCAGAGGCTAAGAGCATCGGCTGCTCTTCCAGGGTCCTGAGTTCAATTCCCAGCAGCCACATGGTAGCTCCCAGACATCTACAATTCAGTCTGGTGCCCTCTTCTGGCATGTAAGCAGAAAACTGTATGTGTGATAGATAAATAAATAAATCTTAAAAAAAAAAAAAGAATCAGGGCTAGGCTAGTCCCCCCACCAGCCCCTGGCTGTCAGGACTGGAAAATGGTGCTGCTCTCAGCGAGACTTCGCTATAATGCAAGGGTTCCCCTCACACAGCCGAGGGGGGGGGCAGGCAGGACAGCAGGTGCACGTGGGGGGTGCGGCTGGGCTGGGGCAAATCCGCTCCTCCTGTGGCCACCTTGGCCCACCCTACTGCTTCAGAGCTCCCCCTCAGCCACCCATGCAGTCCAGACAAAACGCTGAGGGAGACCTGGGGACACACTAGGGACTCTGGGGGGTGAGGGGAGAGTGGCCTGATTCCAGAGCCCAGAAGCCATCCAGCTGCCCTGGGCTGTGCAGAGCGGAGCTGCGCGGAGAGAGAAAGACACAGTGGGTGGGGGCCGGGAGGGGGGAGGCTGCCAGATGGATGAGCACCAAGAATCCTGCTCTGTCCTCAAGTGACAAATTGGTTTTGTCAGGGACTCCACGCATAAGTGCACAGTGAGGCTGATCACTGTTCCTGGCATCTCTCTCTCTCTCTCTCTCTCTCTCTCTCTCTCTCTCTCTCTCTCTCTCTCTCTCTCTCTCTCTCTCTCTCACTCTTCCAGGTTGGGGAGGCTTCGGGCAGAGAGAGCACGAGACACAGACTCCACTTTCCTCTCATGCTCTCCCGTCTGTGCTGCCTGCCCCAGGGGAGCGGCCTCCCTTGATTGAGGCTGGCTGAATATTACCAGGACGAGAATGGATACCCATCCCCACCCCTACACAACAGGGCAGAGGACACGCTGGGCTGGCCCACCCCCACCCCACCTCCGCTTGGCCCTCACACGCGTGTTCCAGAAGCCCCCTACCTCTGCTCCTCCTCCAACTCTTCTTTGGTCATCATCTTCTTGTACTGGCTTCCCCTCAGCTGCCCAGGGCTGTACTTAAAGGAGAAGGCCGCTCCTGTGGGGACAGTGGGTCAAGTTTATCGACAGCTCGGGTGGCCAGGCTCAATAGCGACCCCTGGAGCAGGGGATGAAACTCAGAGCCTTGCCCATGCTAGGCTAGGCAAGCGCTCTTCCCTGAGCTACATCCCGGCTCTCCCTTTGTGCATTTTCAAAGAAACAGACCAGCAAAAAGCAAACAAACAAAAACCGGGTGGTGGTGGCTCACACTCTTAATCCAGCACTCGGGAGGCAGAGGCAGGAGGATCTCTGAGTTCGAGGCCAGCCTGGTCTACAGAGCGAGTTCCAGGACAGCCAGGGCCACACAGAGAAAAGAAAGCCTGTTGTCAGAGATGCCCAACAAGCCACATACAGTCCTTGTACCAACCCGAGAGCAGCCCCAGATTGGGAGGGGCCAGGCTCTCAGTCATTTTCCCAACACAGGCCCATCCTATACTTTCTACACATCCCATAATCCTCTGGTTTCCTAAGCCTCGGCCTCTAATGGGGGTCGGATGGAACGCAGAGAGCCAGGCAGAAAATGTCCCCTGCGCTGCTCCATCTTCCAGATGCCATTCCCTCCCCCGGCCAGTTTAAGCCAGCCTAGGGCTGTCTGCCTGTCTCGGAGCCAACAATTCCGCTGTTGCCTGCAAGGATTCCCCTGCCATGCCAACTCCCACCACAGCGGCCTCCCTCAGCCCCAGTTTATGCTGATCATACCCAAGAGCAAAAGCCGTTCACATCCCAGGGAGCACACGGGTCCGCCACACTGGGTCCCAGGGACTCAGACCTTCCTTCTCTTCTCCTAGGCTTGGGGCAGCCAGGCTCAGGCTCTCTGTCCCTCCCCCGGGGTTATCAGCGATTGAAGGCGCACACATCGGGGCAGAGATGGGGTGCACCAGTGAACGGGCTTGGTGGCAGGCGGCCAGGGCCTGAGAGCGGCCTCCAGTGCCTGCGGCCTGTTAGAAAGGGCAGATCTGCAGGGGTGTGTGTGTGTGTGTGTGTGTGTGTGTGTGTGTATGAGAGAGAGAGACAGACAGACAGAGAGAGAGCAGAGAGAGCAGGTAGAGAGAGAGTGGGGGTGCGGGGAGCACAGAGCAGAGCACGGAGAGAGACGGAGAGAAGGGCCAGGGCACCTATGTGACACAGTGCCAACACAGACGCTGGGGTACCCCAGGAGAGGAAGGCAAGAGCTTCAGGGCAGCATGAAGAAGAGGCGCTTCCTGGTGAGAAAATCTGCTTGGAAGCAAGGTCCTCAGTGTCCCTCAATCCAGCCCGTGTCTGGGGAGGCTGAGGGTGGCGGGCTGGTTGGCTTCCATCTAATGCCTGTGAAGGCAGAAAGCCTGAGGGACATCGACAGCCTGTCACACTGCCATCTCCTCTTCCAGTTGCTATTCTAGAACTTTCTACTGCCTCTCCGAGAGGTCCCACATCTTCTCACAGCAGGACAGGCTCCCCACTCACGTCATCGGATATGTGGACGCACGCCCCAGAAGCAAAGGCCACTGGTATAGCATTTTCTCCTGGCTCGGAGGAAGAAGTTTCTGGAAAGGATCTCAGAACCCACACATTCTGCAAGGGCCAGGCTATCACCTCATCAGGCCTCACTTAGGATTGGGGTCCTCACTAGCCAGCTGCCCAGGACCCGAGGCCTTTCCTCAGGAAAAAAATCCCCACCTTTTATGAGGACTGATTTGCTCCTCAAATCATTCCACAAGCATTTAGAGCGTACCATTCCAGGTGCTGGTGTGATCCTGCAGTGACCAGAGGACACCTCGGACCAGCAGCTGGTCCTAGACAAGGGTGGCTGAGACGGGAGGGGGCTGGGCTGCAAAAGTGTCCATGGAGCCAGGTGCGGGCGGCATACATCTTTGGTCCCAGCACTTGGAAGGCAGACCGCTGTTGAGTTCCAGGCCAGCCTGGTCCAAATCAAGCTTCAGGCCAATTATACAGAGGGTCCAGGACAGCAAGGTGACTGTGTGTGAGGGGACGGGGACATCTGAGACAGTTGGGGTTGGCTTGACTGCGATGAAGGGGTGGGCCTGGGGGTCTGAGGCAGAACTGGGCTATCCTCCTTGCCTTCTCAGAAAGCCCTCCCTCCTCTGCAACCCCCACCGCCACCAGGCTAAGCTCTGCCCAGCTAGACTAATGGAAACTCCACTCCATCTGGGTCATCGGGACCAAGACCTTTGCAAGCCCAGGATGTGCAGAGTTGAGGCTGGAGATCGGGAGCTTCCCCGAGCAACTCCGGTCTGCTGCCTGCCGGGAGCAGAGTGGCAGCTTTCATTCATACTGAGGAGCAAAAGGGCAGGGTCTTTGTTATCCGAAGCCCCAAATATCCTGCATGCCAGGGACAACAGCTGTAGCCTGAGCTTACAAGCAACCCTCAGGGTGAACCCAGAAGAACCGACAAGACCGATGAACCTCAACGCCTGGGCCGCCGCGTTGCTGTTTTAGAAAAATAAGCATGAAAAGTTCTGCCAGCTTGATGCACGTCTGGGCTCTGGTTTATGGGGCAAGTCTTATTAGCTTGATGCTCTTCCAGCCCGCCAGGGCAGCCGGCTGACACAGGCTTTAACTTAATCACACGGGGTGGGCCAATCCAATTTTGTTAGAGCAGGAGGGCTGGGTATGAGAGTCCCCGGGGAGTGTGTACAGGGTGGGGGCTTCCTCTTCCAGGCATCATGAATCTATGAGTCGCTTGGGGAAGTCATTTTAGCGACACTAATCAATTAGCCTGGGAGGCTGAGCTGCTTACTGCAGAGCAGATAGCGTGGGGGGAGGGGGAGGGGGAGCTTGCCTCCTTCTGACAGCTGAGACCTTCCTCCCTCTGCCTGGTTATAGTGGCAGGCCATGAAGACTGGGGGCTGTCCAGGGACAGTGCCTCAGAAGAGAAAGGGCAAACTCAGGAGCTGGCATTGGGGTGGGTACAGGGCTTGCGGATGTCAGCCGAGTTAGAAACGGTAGCCTGTAGATCTCTCACTTTGTTTACACACAGGGGCCTCCAGACTCACTCCAACCTCCCTTCTTCATGCTCAAGTCACTAATAGGACCTTGATACCCACACCAACAGGGACAGGGACGGTCTCTCGGGCCACAGTCGCTGGTAGCTCCTAACTCTATGATCTAGGGGTGGAGAGCATGGGCCTGGCTGGCCAGGGGTTGACATCTCCACTGCCTGTGCCTGGGCACCCTCAGAGGCTATACCAGTAGAAACCCGCAGCTCTGCCGGCTCTCTGGAGGGCCTGGGAACATCTCTGAGCCTCATCTGCTAACACCTGCAGGAGCCCCAGTTATCACATCCCTGAACCCCTGTTTCCTATGGCCCCTGCTGGCAGCTGACTTAAAGCTTCACTTGGTCTTGCTTTGAAAGAAAGAAAGAAAGGAAGGAAGGAAGGAAGGAAGGAAGGAAGGAAGGAAGGAAGGAAGGAAGGAAAGAAGGAAGGAAGGAAGAAAGGTCTCTGTGTGCTCGCTACACTGGTCCAATAAATAGTAACATTTTGTTTTGCTTTTTCCAGTTTTTTTGAAAGAAATAAAATGTGACAGATTAGCCAGTCTGTCTGTTTGTCTAGGATACACAGGCCTCTTGGTTATATATGTTCCTGTGACTCCCTCCCTCCTGTCTCTCCCTCCTCTCCCTCCCTCCCCTCCCTCCTATCTGAACCACCCAGGGCTCAGGAGAAGCAGCCCCATCTCCGAGGAGGCCTCCCCACAAAATGCACCAGAGAGAGCCAACAGGAAGACAGGCGTGGCTGGGAGGGGGAGAAGAGACAGCCAGGGAGAGTTTAGCTCTGAAAGGAGGCCTCCTGCCCCCAATGGCACTTGCTTTACAGACAGGAAAGCAAGGACCAAAGTGAAGGAATGTATGCAGGGAGGCCAGGGATGAGTGGTCTCTGACCTGATCACCCCACAGCCCCTCTCGCTCCCCCGTGGTCCCTCAAGTCTCAGACCCCACTGCCCCCAGAGTGGCCCAGGGAGAGCCAACGTCTGCAGCCTCGTGGGGGAGGGTGCTGCTCACCATCCTCTTCCTCGGGCTCTTCAGTGGGCGGCCCCGTCTCACTGTCTGAGTCTTGCTCTTCATCCTGCAAGACAATGGCGGGGTCAGTGCTGTGTAGCTGGCTGAGCCCCGCTGTCCTCTCAGGAAAGTGAGGTGTGGGCTCCAGAGGGACCACCTCCTAAGCCGGGGAAGCGGAGGGTGAGTGGGGAGAGAGTGGAGTGGGGGACACACCTCCAAGGTCCAGTGTGAGCGTGTCCAGCAGCCGTGGAGGAACCTGCGGTGCCAGGGCAAAGCCAAGGACGAGGAGGAAGAGGCGATAGAGGACCCTGCGTACCACAAGCCCTCAACTTGGGCCATTCTCTGCCCGGGTATTTCAGTAAGTGGCCTGGAACACCCACCCTCACCTTAGTAAGAGACACAGAGAAAACTGGCTGGCTGTACTGCCTAGGGCGTAGGTCAGCTCAACAGCCCAGCTATTCCAAGATAGCAGCCTTCTGGCGGCTTCTAACGTTATTGTCTGTCTTCAGTCAGCTCAGTGATCATTTACCCAAAATTGGAGCTCCACACCTTTAGCCTGGTCTCTCCCACACATGGATTCGATAAACAGAGGGCTGGGAGAGGCATGGCATTCCGTCCTGTCCCGGGATGGCCTTGAGGGAGGGAAGGAAGGAGTGACTTCAACTTCAGGAATGTTTGAGGATGAGAGAGACATGTGATCGGGCAACTGTGTGGGCCTGGAGGGTGTGGGGAGGGAATGAGAGGCCCAAGGAGCTGCAGTGTGGAAGCCTAGCCGGCCAGTGTGGAAACTTCCGGTTTGAGGAGGAGGAGGGCATGGGTAGAGCCTGCAGTGGAGACAAACAGTGATGTGAGTCTGGGCTGCCCAAAATACCCCAAGAAGCAGTCAGTCTCAGCAGAAGGAGGCGTCCCAGCAGAACAGCACGCTGAGCCTGGGAATACAGTTTTCACAAACCCCAAGGTGGTCGGTGGGTCACAAGCGGCCAAGTCTGGGGCCTTGAGCTCCTCAGGATATAGGGCCAGTGCCTACCACGTAGCAGAGCTTACAGGGTCAGGGCTAGCTATGTAGAAGCCGTACTGCCCCATCACAGCCAAGGCTGTGTCCTGACGGACCAGACACCACCCCAGTTTTGCAAAGCAAAGTATCTTTGTAGCTAAGGGAGGTGAGCAGGTCAAAAAAGGAGTCACAGAGGACTCACTCTGAAGAATCTGTTGTCTAGACTAGAAACATTTATCTAGGACTTTTCTACAACAGTGCTAGAGGCTGATGGGGAGTTAAGAACCTCTTGGCTAAATACACTCGGCTCACATGATCTCCAAAATGTCAACCAGTCCAAAGTCACCACAGGGCATGCAGAGGAGGTGTCTGCACACACTGCCTATGAGAAAGAATCAAAAGAATTTATTGGGGGGGGGCTAGGTCACTGGGCAGAGTGCAGAGCTGTGCATGTCGGTAACTCCGGCACTGGGGTGGGGGGGGGGGGAGACAGGCAGACGCTCGGAACTTACCAGCTAGTCAGCCTACACAACTAGTGAACTCTGGAGTCAGTGAGAGATCCTGTCTCGAAAGATAAGGTGGAGCTGGGCTTGGTGGCGCACGCCTTTAATCCCCACACCTACGAGGCAGAAGCAGGAGGATCTCTGCCAGTCTGAGGCCAGCCTGGTCTCCATGGTGAGTTCCAAGCCAGCCATGGTTATATAGCAAGACTCTGCCTCAAAAATAAAATAAGGCCTTCAGGATAGGGTCCCCAGCGTACGTGTGTGCGTGCGTGTCTACAGGCCAGAGAAGGATGCCAGGTGTGTGTGTGTGTGTGTGCATGCATGTGTGTGCATGTGTGCATGCATGTGTGCATGCATGTGTGTGCGTGTGTCTACACGCCAGAGAAGGATGCCAGGTGTGTGTGTGTGTGCATGCATGTGTGTGCGTGTGTCTACACGCCAGAGAAGGATGCCAGGTGTGTGTGTGTGTGCATGCATGTGTGTGCGTGTGTCTACATGCCAGAGAAGGATGCCAGGTGTGTGTGTGTGTGCATACACGCGTGTGCATGTGTCTACAGGCCAGAGAAGGATGTCAGGTGTGTGTGTGTGTGCATGCATGTGTGTGCGTGTGTCTACACGCCAGAGAAGGATGCCAGGTGTGCATGCATGTGTGTGCATGTGTGCATGCATGTGTGCATGCATGTGTGTGCGTGTGTCTACACGCCAGAGAAGGATGCCAGGTGTGTGTGTGTGTGTGCATGCATGTGTGTGCATGTGTGCATGCATGTGTGTGCGTGTGTCTACACGCCAGAGAAGGATGCCAGGTGTGTGTGTGTGCATGCATGTGTGTGCATGTGTGCATGCATGTGTGTGCGTGTGTCTACACGCCAGAGAAGGATGCCAGGTGTGTGTGTGTGGGCATGCATGTGTGTGCATGTGTGCATGCATGTGTGTGCGTGTGTCTACACGCCAGAGAAGGATGCCAGGTGGCCTGCTCTAGCAGTCTCTATCTTGTTCCCTTCGGATCTGACAGGGTCTCTCACTGAACCTGGAGCTTGGCTGGCAGCCATGATAACCCAACAGTCCTTTTGTCTTTGACTCCTCAGTGCTGGAGTTACAGGTGTATGAGCACACGTGTTGCTTTTACATGGACTCTAGGGATTCGAACTCAGGTTCTCACGCATGGGCAGCAAGCACCACCTCCCTAGCCCCTGGAATGGATCTCAATCTAAGCCCTCTATCCTTATCAGAGAGAACCCAAGCATAAAGAGACACTGGTACTCACAGAAGATCACACCAAGAAGAGAAGCTCCAGAAGAAATGCACCCTGCCAACCCCTTGCTTTTGAACCTTTGACCTCAGAGAAAATAAACTGCTGTTGTTTAAGCCCCTGGCCCATGGCGTTTTACTGCAGTGGCCCTGGCAAACCCCTACAGAAGGCTTCCGGCGACAGCAAACCAACCTCATGAAAACTAGACACTGTAACACAGGCTGATGTCATCCTGGCTGGTCCCCCAGCAGGACTGGCTGAGGCTCAAAGCCAATCACCTCACAGGCGGTTCTGCTGCCGCCGTTGCCCTGTCTGCTGCTCTCTGCAGTGCGCTAAATAAGTCTGCCTGCTTTCTAAACAAAACAAAGCAACAGCCAATCACCCCACTGGGTCTCAGCTCAGTGGAACTGAATGGATACTCTGTTTTAACTGCGTGTGGGTTAATTTTCCAGTGTTAGCTTCTTCCAGGGGTGGCAAGAGACGGAACGTCTCCTCCAACGAGCATCCCCAAGGACCCAGGCAGATAGCACTGCAGAGGAAGGGTCAGGCAGGCTTCTGAATGATTAGAGGAAGACAAAGCGTGTGTGTGTGTGTGTGTGTGTGTGTGTGTGTGTGTGTGTGTGTGTGTGTGTGTGTGTGTACACCCATCTGCTGCCCCAGGAGATGCTTCTGTCCTGGATCCTACTGCCTGTGTGTATGTCTGGTCCGGTACCATGTGCATACCAGGTGCTACCGAGGTCAGAAGAGAACATTGGATCCCCCCCCAACAAGAGTTACCGACAGCTGTGAGCGGCCATGCAGATGCTGGGAATCGAATCTGGGAGAGCAGCCAGCGCTCTGAATCATCTCTCCAGCCCCCACAATCTCCAGTCGTTTTGTTTGTTTTTTGAGACACAGTCTCATAGCCCAGGCTGGCCTTGAACTTGCTGAGAATGACACCACACTTCCAGTCCTGCCTCTGCCCCCCATGTGGCACGGGCTGGGTGTACCAGTGGTTAGGGCTTGTGATCTGTCCGTTGTCACTCACTCATGGGTCTCTTTTTGTTGTTGTTGTTTTTGTTTTGTTTTTTGAGACAGGGTTTCTCTGTGGCTTTGGAGGCTGTCCTGGAACTCACTCTGTAGACCAGGCTGGTCTCAAACTCACAGAGATCCGCCTGCCTCCGCCTCCCGAGTGCTGGGATTAAAGGCGTGTGCCGCCACTGCCAGGCTCACTCATGGGTGTCTTGACTCCCTCTGTCTGACCAGGTCTCCCGGGTCACAGGGCCTGACAGCTCATAGCTGTTTCGGTGCCCGGATCTGCAGGACGCCTACGCGGGGCAGCTCTCTTTGTCTCTGTGCACTGAGCTCTGTGTCAGGCCAAAGATGGAGAGACCCACCGTAAAAAGTGCCACTTTCTGTCTGAACACTTCTTGCCCTGGGGAGCTCACTCCCTTACAGAGCAGTCCAGCTCTGGGGAGCAGAAGACAGGGCTCCCTGCCGTGGGGAGCTAGCGAGCAGGGAGCAGAGACAGCTGAGCCTGCCTTAGGCAGAGAGCCAGCCAGCAGCAAGCTTTGTTTGGACTTTCGTGGGTTTCACATGGTTCCTTACTGAAAAAGACCGTCCAGGCGCCTGCTGTCTGGTGGACCTGTGGTAGGAGTGGGGAGGGGGTGGTGAACGTGGGGTGGGTGAGGGCCTGGTCTCATCCTTGCGTGCGTGCAGACATTCCTCTGCACAGACAATGTGCTCAAAAACAAAAGATGACCTCATGCTGGCTAAGTGCTCCGGGGAGAGCCAAATAGGATGATGCGGGGGGGGCGAGAGAGCAGAGAGGAGGGTGACTGACATCTGCTAACATGGTCAAGGGCATGGAGACAGGATGTGCACAGGGCTTGCACAAAGATGCAGGCTGGGCATGCCAGGCAGTCAGTCGACACGGGCGTCTAGACACGGACCCGAGCACAAGGAAGACACCTGGGTGGGGGGGGGGGGGCAGTGAACATTGTGATCAATGGCCAGCAACCTTAGAGGCTGCCGTCTACCCCGCTGCAGCAGAAGCTGCGGAGAGCTCCAAGCAAGGAAGCTGGGATGTTGCTTCTGGGTTACTGGAAGGCAAACTGGGAGCCGATGGAGCTGGGCAGCCTAGGGCACGCGGGCAGCAGGAGCCCGGAAAGGCTATCAGACAGCCTGCAAGAACACAGCGCGGAACGGCGGCCAGCAAGACTGCAGGGGAGCTGCTCCCTCACGAGGAGGCTCTGGGAGACAGGCAAGAGGGGTGGAGAGAAAAGAGGAGACCAAGACAGGCCTGGACTTCAGGCCTAAGCAGTGTGGGGAGGAGAGGAAAA